TTCTTTTCCTGACCTAGAGGGCTAACTCCAACAGTAACAGATATTGGAAAAACATGACTTCTGGCTCTTTTTGTTGGTGGCCGAGAGGAATAGAATACAGTCAAATGAGTTTTGGACATACGAAGTTGAAGGAGATAGTTGAATATACAAGCATAAAAGAACTACAGAAAATCGGAATTGCAACACCAGCTTAACAAAAAGGCTGATGGTGCAGAATAAGTCTAAAAGAAGAGGGGAAAAAAGCAATAAAGACAAGAATCTAAAATATAAGAGGGGACCTAGAATAGTTTAGTTTTATGGAAGGCAAAGGAAGATGCAGCTTAATAAAGGCAGTGGTGATGACCAACATCATCAAATTCTCAAAATTAAGCAAATGTGATAAAGACTGAATAAATACCACTGGACTTGGCTAGATGTAGATGGTGGGAGTAGGAGCCAAATTAAGAACATTTATAGAGAGTAAAGGTGGTTTGGAAGAAAAAGATTCAGCAATGGTTTGGTATTTAAGTCTATTCGAGTCACAATTTACTTCAAAACAGCTTGAAGATGAAAAATAAGACCTGTATCTTAACACTTCCCTACAAAATGCACACAAACGTTGTGGCAGGTAGTGAATTCATTACTAGCTGAGTGAGCAAATTAACTTTTCTATTACCATCTATTTTTTTCATGAAGAATTTAACCTTAAAACATACTTTCCTAAAAATTTATTTTAAGAAATTTCTGGTCTCCATAATTTCATATAAAGGCTACATTCCTGGAAAACAAACAGATAAAAAATGCTGCAATTAACAGTTGAATAGTTCTGTGAACATCTTGTCCAAGTAAACACTAAATAGAGGAGATGTAATTTATGATAACCAGAAAAACAGTATGTATAGCTTTGTTCCATGTGGGTAATGTTCTTTGTTGCTGTATCCACCATTGTATTTTCCTGTCTTTTCCTCATAATGTCATTGAAACGGATAATAGCCAGTGCAGCACTTTGAAAACTCAATATGCTTATGTCATCAAGATTACTCAGAGCCACGTTTTCTCCTCAGTATCACAGGGACCTGTATATAAGTCACTTAACTTCAACTGAGGGTGAAGGTGGTGTATATAGAACCCTGGTTTTAGAAGGTATTTTTTATAAGGAATAAGATAATGGGACAGTGGATAAAGATGCATTAGAGTCGACCTAAGTTATTTCTCTGGATTAGAAAAACCAATTTTGAAAGTGCAAATCCAGACAGAAAGGATCAATCAAGGAGAGAATAAAAATACACGGTAAGTAGAGGAATTCATTAAGCAACGTTCGTGATTATGTAGAAATGAATGGGGGGAAAAAATCTCTGTAAAGATATGAAGGAAAGGAAGGAAGGGTGGGGGAGGGGAGGAAAGGAAGCAAATAGATGGGCAGGAAGGGATGGAAGGGACGAAGCGGGAAGGGAAGGGCAGGGAGACATATTTTTCATTGTAGAGGAAAGAAGTCGAGGCAATTCATGACAATGTCCTCATGCTTCTTGGTGAAGAGGTAGAATTATCTGTAAATATGAGAACTGTTCTGAGGGGATGATTAAAGGACTTGGGCAACAAAATGCTCAGTTGACATTGCAGATTATCCACTTACGATGCTAAGAATTTCTTGGTGATGCAACTTGCCCAGCAATATTTCGTTGCTGAAATATTTTCCTCCTCTAGTGCCTTCACTGCCACACTGAATCAATGTTAACAATCTTGCAGAATATTCGATCCCTTGTGCCGAGGACAGTATTATCAGCTACACCTGATTAAAGCAACAATATTTTTTGACTATAAAGGTTTTAATAAATTCATAGTGATTCAAAAATATTTTTCTTATATAATATGAAATTCCAGTGTACCCACGATAGAATATGCAATTACGTGACATCTTTTCTGTCTTTAAAATAGTTTATATAGTCCTAACCTGAATTTTCTGGAATAGACATGCAAACATGAACTTAGGAGGCTGAGTAGTTAGCTGTCTATACCTGTGGTTCCTAGACTCTTGATAACATGTACCAGGAAATGCAAATGGGAAAACCAACACAAGGTTGCCAATTTTTAATTTGGCCAAATAAAATAATAAAACAAATAATCCACTATCACTTATTCTCACCATAATTTCTAAACAAGCATTTTAACATGAAAATGATTTTAGTCCTTAGAAAAAATCTACAACACACACTTTTACAATAGCATTCTTTAAATTGAATATGGTCAACTTTGTAAGTGTTCATGACATTATTCTTAATTACCTGGGTTAGCTGTAGGAATATGAAAACTTGGTCATAGGGTACTGGTCTAATGGAACTGTGTTTGGGGTTATTAGTTTATACCCACAATATCTGGGCCCCAGCTCAGATATATGGTAACTCACCTTTTACTAATGGACAGAATCACCAGAATTTACATCACAAGGCTCCAATTCAGATCTCTCTAGCTTCAAATATTGGGGTTACAGTAGTGGTTAGATCTCTCCTAAAATACTCTTATTTTTAGCAATACAAAGATTATCATGAATGGCAAAGAATATAATCATTTAAGTGACTATTCAGAAAGATGACCTCCAGAAAATAAGAATGATAGTTAAAATATAGTATTCTTTTGAGTTATTAGACATAGCATACCTAATTTTGAGGGTAGAAATAATAAATTTCAGGACACAAAAAACGGGTGATAGAGTAAACACATACATACACAAGCAATACAACAGAAACAAAAAATCCCTCCCTTTTGCACATACATACACATATCTCTGTTTACATACATACACATAATCATTCATTTTCCTTTGACCTCATTCGAGGGTGAGTTGCAGGTATCATACCTTTTACCTCTAAATACTTTAGCATGAGTTTGTCAAGAAGGCCATTTACCTATAGCCAAATTAGCCTTAATGAAATAAGGAAAATTAACTTTTATAAAGCTAATAATTAATCAACAGTGCATAATCAGATTTAGTCAGTTTCTCCAATAATTTCTATAATCACTATTATTTTCCCAGTCCAAGAGCCAATGCAGAGTCATATATTGTGTCTAGTTTTCATAGCTCTTCAACCTCAGGCAGTTCCTGAGCCTTTCTCTGTTTTTCATGATGTTAACATTTTGAAGAGTTCAGTTCAGTTATTTTATAGAATGTCTTCAATTTAATTTTCCTTATGGCTAATGTTTTGCAATTTTGACTGGATACCAAGAAGTGATGTGTCTTTTTCAGTATAGTTGATCCCATAATTGATGATGTTGTCTTCTAAGGTAGTTTCTACTAGATTTCTCTACTGTAAACTTTCTTCTTTTTCAATGTTTAATTAATGCAAAATAGATACTTTGAATTTCTTATTCCTCCTCAAACTTTCACTCATGAGTTTAGCATTCATTGATTATTCTTTGATGAATCAATTGTCACTATGATGGTTGCCAGTTTGGTAATACTCTAACTCCATTATTCCTTTTACTCTTGTTAGTTAACATTCAACTGTTAGGAAGAGATTTTTCCTTTTCTCTCTTTACTTACATCAGTATATATTTATGGATTCTTATGTTATTCACTGGGTTGTAGTCTGATATTGTCATCATTTATTTTGATGTTCCAAATTGTCCCAGCTTTGGCCAGTGGGAACCCTCTTCACGATAACACCTTTGTCCTACTGACATGACTCAACATTCCTTGAGCATTAAATTATTTTTGGCACAAGTATGCAAAATAATACCTAAATGAATTTGGTGGTTTATATGATTGTGCTTTACCAATTCTCTTCATATTTGAAAGTATACCAGTGAGCACTGGTGTGGATGTGGGGCATCAAAAAAATCTGTAAAGATTCTCTTATTTTAGGGTGATAATGTGAAGAGATGAGGTCAGTAAGTTGTGGAAGGATGGTGAGAAGCACTATGCATGGCTGCCTCTTTTCCTGTCAAGGCTGTGTTCCCCTTTCTGCCTCAAGACAGAGGCTGTGCCACCCTGATGGCGAGGGAGGACTCCGCTTTCCTCCTATATGTAGATAAGGTGGAGCACTCAGGTAACCTTTCCAAGATCTATGTAAATTCTGCACTTGACTTCATTGTAGCTTCCCCAGTTCATTTCTTTATCTGCCGGAGCCGGTTAGATTAAGCCTCCAGGTCGACCCAAGGCACATCTTTGCATCTGGGCCATTTTCACAAGCTATTTAATCTCTGTATCATCCAGGCAGATGACATGCTGACGTGAGGCAGCAGAGACAGCTTTCATAAAGAGGCCGTTTGTAAAGGCGTCTGCAAGGTCAGGGGAAGGCTGTGAACAATGGAGAGGTGCAGGCGTAAGGGAGCAAGGTGGAGAGTGCCAGCGAGACCCCAAAGAAAGTAGCTCTGGTTCCCTTGTAGGACAGCTCTGTCTGACCAGGAGCCTGACTTTCTGCAGATGAATGTCACACTGCCAGGCCAGAGCAACTCAGCCAAGAAGGAAATGGGAAAATTTCCCAATTTCACTCTTTGTGAAACCACTGGTGTTTTCCAGATGGCGCTTCCACTGCTGGGGCTTCCCATTGGCCACGCCGACTTGGAATCAGAGGGTAAGAGAGCCCATTGGTGCAATGCACAAAATCACCCTCACACAGAGCAAGACGGAGAAGCAAGCGTGGTTCTGGAGGAGCACACAAAGGATCCTACTTACACAGAGCACCTTCTGATTTTTGTAATACAGATTTAAGGGCTTCTTTTTGTACTTCAAGTGGCCATCCATCATTGCTCGGGTTTCTGTACTTCTTTTCCACCTGGAGCCGCCAGCTTATGCTCTGGCATCAATCAGTTCCTTCTTCTGGCGGAGATCACATCCTACTGCTTATAGCTGCTGGAACGCCATTCCCCCAGCCCCATTTCTACCACAGGCTTTCTGGCTGTCATCCCAGGTAGACCCATTTGTGTGTGTGTGTGCTTAGCTCCCCTTTTCCCCCAGTTTGCAGAGTAAAAATATCTTCATCTTGTTATAAAATGCTGTTAACAAAAAGTAACTGGGCAAACAATAAAATAAAAAATGTAATCTTTATTAGTTTTGCACATTTTTAATGTTGGTTATCATCATTTAGGGTAATAGTAGCATTTTCCAGCATGCAGTTCACAAACACAGTTTATCTATGTAGTTTTAAGAAAAAGAGGAGCCTCTGTAAGAAACACAAGATGTCTTGATGTAACTGACTATATAAGTTCACTACTCTCTGTTCTTGTGGGGAAAAAAAATTTGTGAAATTCAGATTACAGTTAGAGCATCTAAAGCAGCATGACACCAAATACATGAAAACAAACGGAAGTTAGAAAAAAAAATAAGCACTATTTTCAATCAGTTAGTGCAGCCACTACCGAAAATATAAATTAAATTTTATACCCTCTCCCCACTGCAAAGCATAATTTGGATGTGAGTTTGGAACTTATTTTGCCCTTTATGAAATGATCTAAAATTAGCAAATGCAATATATGCAGAAATCAACAACTACCCAGTCCTGTTTTCATTTCTTATTTAGCAAATATCTTCCATGAAAAAGTACTATAGACAGAAAGTAAGAAAAGTGATCATGATACCAACCTGAAGATAATGTCCTGTTCCTATTTATGTACATAATGCTGAAAAATAAAATAAAATGACTTTTTACAGTATTTATATTTGCTTATAAAATTCTACACACACTTTGAACAGGCTAAGCAGTGGTTTTTTGTTGTTGTTTGTTTTTAACATGTCTGTACAGTCAGGCTATACACCATATGTTATCCACCTAAAAGTTAAAAATAACCAAAAGCTGTTGAAGTGCTGCAAACTATAGCTTCATGACTTAAAGAAAAGAGATTTGTTAAACGATTTCCTTGACTTAACCACTGACGTATGGTTTCTCGTGAATGAGATTCTGAGCAGTGTAAGAAACCAGATACAGCAGTGTGGTGACATCGGCATGCATCGGCGGCATCCCAACTACCTACAATGGTGCAGAATACTTTATATGACCTGTGGGAAGCTTGCACTCTACATTTCTTGTGGTGCATATTTAATGCAATAAATACTGTGCTTAAGTCATTATTTGTTTGCCCAAACGTGCACCACAGGGTAAAATGACTATTTACATAATAAATAGCATTTCGTTAACATATACAGTGTCAACCTTGCTGAGCTGAAGATGGCTAAACAAAGTGCAGGACTAAGCAGAAATTTATAAAGGGTTGTTTTGGTCAGGTCAGTCTTTAGTGGGAAACAATGCTTATTATTCAGTTTTTTTTTTTTTAACTACGGTAGCAGAAATATTTATGACTCCAAACATTTGGATCAAGTTTGCACCGGCGAAGATTTCATGGCCTACTTCAAAAAAATTATCTACTTGGTCTAGGGACTGGATTTGACAAAATAAGATCAGCAAAGCACCTCCAGTTATCACCTAATCACCCCTCCCAGAAACCTGAATGGAATTTAAGAACTCATTGTTTTCCCTGTGACCTTTTTTCATGCAAGATCTCTCCGGGTAGCATGCCCTCATGCAAACCATGTCTTTGTGCAAATGGGAGTGCAGTGTGATTGCCATAACCCCCAGTGGCATACCTGTTAAAGAGGTCCTTTAGTCTGTTTCCCAACAGAAACCCCATTTACAAAAATATTCACATATAATAAACAACATATGGATTAAAAAAAAGATGAATTCACTAACAGATTTTGTAAAAATGTGACAAATGTGGCAGTTGAAATGCAAAGAGTGGATACAATTACTACACTAGAGTGTCCCATGTTAAACAACCTCCAAATTATAGGTTTGCACCCCTTTGAACTGGTCCCGACAGTCTGAGTAGCCATTGTGTCTCTTGTCGTCAGCAGTGTCAGCTGGTAGTGAGAACAGTAACCTCCTGTCAAGGTCATCTCCCCTTCACACAGAGTCACAATTCTCTGTCAAGGGGTCACTGTCTTATTGTAGGCACTGACCTTTAAGTAGATTTGTGTAAAAACAGTCAGTTTGGCATTGACCCCCTAAAGGAGTCCTGTGGACAAAAATACATCACCTTCACAGGCTGTAAACAATTTGTCGCCCAATTATTTTTATTCTCACTTATTTCCCTTTGGCTTTTTCATCCTTGCCTTCTTGCTCATGTTTTTCCACGATCGGTTTTGTTACCCGATCGTAGGAGGGCGGACAAGCTGCTGTGGACATGGTCAGATCAGTTTTTTCTGTAATAGAGTTTTCATTTACTCTGTCAATTATCATGTCTTCTTTTACAAGAAGATTAGCCCCACCTTTGATTTTATTTTTATTATATGTAAATGAAGCTTGTTTTACAGTTCGCTTTAAAAGGTGGCGCCTGTAAGCACGCTGAATAATAACGGCAGACACCTCTTCTTGTTTTCGTTTTAAAGTTGTAGTTATTGGTTGATAGGAGACCTTTGATGGATTGGAAGCCATGAACCTGTCTTCCATCTGTACTCGGAGAGCATCCATCTCTCCACTCTCCCCCAGAACCCGCTTGGTAAAAGCAAATAAGATGTCCAGGCAGTGGATCCGGTCTCCACTGACCATGGGCAGGTCCATGGCGATGAGCTGGAGTTTGTTTGGTTGTGGCAAGTTGAGGGGCGGTTCAAGAGCAGCTGCAAACTGGGATAGTTTTTCAAATTCCATGAACTGGGTGGCGTCGGGGTCGAACTTCTCCCAGACCTCGTAGAACATCTCAAAGTCATCCTCGCTCAGGGGCTCTGCACTTTCTTCGGTAGCAACGCTGAAGTTCTCCAGGATGACGGCGATGTACATGTTCACCACAACCAGAAAGGATATGATGATGTAGCTGACGAAGAAGAAAATCCCCACAGATGGGTTCCCACAGTCCCCCTTAACTGAGCTTCCAGGGTGAATTGTGTCAGGGTCGCAGTCGGGTGGCGCGCTGTTGAGAATAGGGGCTAGCAGCCCGTCCCAGCCGGCCGAGGTGGTGATCTGGAACAGGCAGATCATGCTGTTGCCAAAGGTCTCGAAGTTGAACATGTCATCGATTCCAGCTTCCCTCTTAACGTAGGCGAAGTTGGACATTCCAAAGATGGCGTAGATGAACATGACCAGGAAGAGCAGGAGGCCGATGTTGAACAGCGCGGGGAGGGACATCATCAGGGCGAAGAGCAGCGTGCGGATCCCCTTCGCCCCTTTGATCAGACGCAGGATCCGGCCAATCCTGGCGAGACGGATCACTCGGAACAGGGTAGGGGACACGAAATACTTCTCTATCAGCTCGGCCAGAAACATGCCTGTGGATAAAAATGAAAATACCAACCACTAAAGAAGTTATCCATTGAAATAGTATTAAATTTCTGTTAAGGCTCTAAGGTAAGGATCAGAGTACTGAAATTCAGTTGCATAATCTTAAATTTGACATATATTCTATATAATACGTACAATTGCATACAACATGTATTATAAATAAACCTTAATTTTGACATTCAAGATTAAACTTTACTCAGTATTTGCTAAGGACTAAATTGTTTCCCAGCCTTTCCCAAATGCATATGTTAAAAGCTCTCACCCCTCAGTGTGATGGTATCTGAAGACAGGGACTTTGGGAAATACTTAGGTTTAGATGAGGTCATGAGGGTAGGGCCCCCGGATGGGATTACTGCCATCATAAAAAGACATAGGGAGCTTCCTCTTTGTCTTTCTCTCTTTCCTGCTGCCATGTGGTGCCATATTGAGAAGGTAACCATCTACCAACCAGGAAGAGCGTGCTCACCAGAAACCCACTATGTTGGCATCTTGATCTTGGATGTCTAGCTTCCAGAACCGTGAGATAATAAATTTCTGTTGTTTAAGCTACCCAGTCTGTGGTAATTTGTTAGAGCAGTCCAAGCTAAAACAATATTCAGTTCAATGAGGATTTTATGGTATTTTTTGTTTCTAGACTCTTTTTAGCTTGCAGAAAATCCCAAGACTGAATCTAAAAAAATTAAGTTAAAAATTCCTAAGTGTGTCTGAATAGCAGTGGCCATCAGTGTAAGTACATATTTATATGCATATAATTATTTTTCCTGAAATTGCCAAATCATATATCCTCTATCATATACCAAATCATGTATTCTCTAATCATACACCCTTTAGTCCTTACTCACTTATAAGTATCTATAGTTTTTAATGCTGTTTGATTTATCCTTGATGCTTCCTTAAGCTTCCACTATAATATATATTTATTTATGTATGCCCCTGCACATTTCTAAAAGGATCCAAGCTAATGCTCTTTCTGGTCTCCTATGGCTGACATTGGTCTCTCAGACCTCTTATTTTAATCTTCTTTCTTCATTTGCCTTAGGTAATGAAATAATGCTTGAACTGAAGAGAAATTCAAGAAACCCAGTGCCTTTGAGTCACACTGCCTCATTCAGCAAAGAGTAAATAAGCCTAAGTGTGTGTGTGTGACAGACACACACACACACACACACACACACAGAAGAGAGGTGAATACAACCTTGGTACCCTATCCACACTGATTACACCACAGATTAGTGTGGGTGTCAAAGGCTATACAATATATGAGTTGGATATAAGACCAACTTATATGAGAGGGTGGAATGGCATGAAAATCTGCCCCACAGAGGTGCCCAATCCGGGGTGATAAAATATTGACCCAATCATATCATCTGGTTTAGGAAATAATGAATATTTCAGGCTTACAAATAGATGCCTTCACTTGGGCTAGAGTTCTATCTTTAACAAAATGATCTACTGCTCATGTAACCTATTATATGTTCTAGGCTTTGAAGAGTATGAGCAATAAATGACATCCCATGTCACCTTACTTCGCTTGTGCATCATGCAATAAAACCACCCCACCTCAAGGTAATTTAGAAAATCTCTATCTGATTCCCTTAAAGAATCTAATATCTGTACTGCTAACATTTTGATCTTCATTCTCTTTTCAGTTCATGCTTTTCATTATCTTGCCATCAGCTTCCACTCATCCATATGCTGATGACTCTGTGTCAGTCTCTGATGCAATACGTCTCCTGAGTACCAGGCTAAATTTCTAATGCTCTTCTCAACAGAGCCATCTAGATATTGCATAATGCTATTCAATCTTAACATGTCAAAACATTTTTATCTCAATTAATAGCACATTTCTAGTTCAAATGAATGGGGCTACTACACTGATAAATAATATACCTAATCTAAAATGGATAGGATAGGATACAAAACTATATTTATAGAAGGAGCCTCATTTTGTGAGAAAAACAAACATATCTGGATGAAATACATCAAAATTTTCTCCAAGGGTGCCTCTGAATGGTGGGATGACCTCTCATTTAAACTTGATTGCCCCAACTTTTAACTTTCATTGAGCTGAATTGAACAGATTTTAAATACTTCTTACCTACAATGGAGAGAATGACAACCACAAAATCGAAAATATTCCAGCCTACTGTAAAATAATAATAGCGGAGGGAGATGAGCTTCAGCACGCACTCGCCGGTGAACAGCACGATGAACACCAGATTGATGCGCGATAAAACGCTCGTCACGTACTCGCTCTGGTCGTCGGTCTCCACCATCATGGTGACCATGTTCAGGCAGATGAGGATCATGATGCTAATGTCGAAGACCTGCCTGGTCACGAAGTCAAAGACCATGCCTTGGAACTTGTTCTGGAAAGAAACAGAAATGCTGTTAGCCACAGAAGAGTTTTCCTGCACATGTTAGCATCTATGTAATTACTTTAGGCATTCATTGACTTTCTAGTATGGGACACAATAACAAATGGCCCATAATTTTGTAAACAATGATTTGTAGCCGAATAATTTTTTGAATTTGGTTATTTAAATTGCTGTTTACCAACGTGTATTGTGCAAAATAAAAATCCCTTGTCAAACAGGAATTTCTGATAAGAAACACTGCATACAATACACTTCTTTGGAGGCACAAAATGCATATTAATGTATTAAGATTATGAGAAGTGAAGAAACCTGTTTTGTTTTTGTTTTTGTTTTTTTTTACCAGATTTCCTATGATTAATTGGACCATTCAGTCATTTAGAATGTAGTATGTGTTACACTCCATTTGTCTTGCTATCAAAGGACTGTTAAAGGAAACTTTGGATTTCCAGGACACACCTATAACATTATTCATTAAAGCCCATATATGACAGTATTGGTGTTCTTCCACCAAACAGTCTTTATTAACATTGTCAGACACAATACTGAGCCAACACAAGGATATGTATAGAATGACATTCCTTATGCATTGATATAAAAAATTTCACATCCCTCATCACTGATCTGTGGTTCTGCTCCCCAGGCCCTGCCCTGTCAGTCACTGCAGGCCATTGTCTGGCTCATTTCCCCAGGCCACTGGGGAACTCTAAGGATCGTTAACTTACATTTTTCCTTACACAGGATGACTCCTTTCTACTTCTACTTAAGGCTAACAGAGGACATGATTCTCAAGAAGGTAACTGTTGGCTAACACAGTATGAATAATAACTAGTATTTTGTTCCCCAAAGCACACCAGGAATTTTTAACCTCACAGATCATTATCATAAAAATCAATACAGTGTGTGATATGGCTTCTCCATTTCACAGCAGTTCTTTGGTTGGTCCTTCATGGAAACATGGAAATTGTTATTTACCACTATGGATTGTACTTATTGATTCTGACTTCTGTAGACATTAGTGAATTTTCACTTTATAACCATATATATAAATAGTAGATTCTCTCCTCCTCCAAATACTTAGTAACTAATGAAAAATAAAATGGAAGGTGTTATTTTACTCGACAACTCATTAACTTGATAATCTAGCATGTATTTAACCTCATCCAAGGTTTACTCCTCTCCCTAATATCACTTGGCAACCACTCTTAAGTTACATGACCAAATCTTTCTTGTGTACATCACACTGTTATGTGTTCTTTGCCATTCATTTTGGATTCTGGTTGCATAATTCTAAATCCTTGAAGATAAGGGTGCATCTTCTATTTCTTCTTATTCTTTTTGGTCTCTCTCTTTCAAAAATATTTTTACCATTACCATGAAGGTATATATTAATGATGCTCTAAAAGTGGAAAGAATCTTT